GTCTGATCAAGGCCTGTCACCCCAGTGGGACTCAGCCACAGGGGTCAGCATGGCTCCCACACAGAGCACAGTGGGGCCGAGGGAGGGGCCCTCAACCTGGGCTCAAAGACAGAAGGAGTGAGTGAATCTGGGGAATACGGTCTCCTTTCTCTGGCCTCGCCGCCCCTCTGAGGTGGTGGAGAAGTGGTCTGGGGCCTCGTCCTGGGGCGGCTGAGAAATGGCCCCTGCCCCGGGCAGGCTCTGCCTTCCCGAAGCAGAAACAAGGCCAAAGCGGGAGGGAGGGTGCAGCCGTTTGGGGGCTGGAGATTGGGACCTGCCCCGCCCTGGGGCCCTGCGGCCAGGAAGCTACTGGTGTTGACCGTGGGCGGCCACCCCCCCCACCCCAGCCAGCAGAACCATATAAAGCCGCCCAAGGTCTGCTCCCTGCTGCCCGCCCGCCACCATGAAGGCTGTCCTCCTTGCCCTGCTAGCCGCTGTCTTGGCCCTGCAGCCAGGTGAGACCACAGGGGGCCACGGGGCAGGGTGCGGGGAGGGGGGATGATCGAGGAAGGCCAGAGGGGCAGAAAGGAAGGGGGGGGGCAGGCTGGGCGGAAGGACACGAGGGAGGGCCGGGGAGAAGGGGCTTTGACCCCACCCAGCTCCCCCTGGGGCAGCTCTTAGTGCAGCCAGGATACCGGGTCATCTCCTAGCTGCCCCCCCGAGGCGGGAGCAGGCCGGGCAGCGCGGGCGTCTCTCCTCCAGCGCCATGGGGCCGGCCTGGCTGCTGGAGGGATGCGCAGAGAGCCTGTGGGGTGGGGGTGGGGCACAGGAGCAAAGAGCCTCAAGTGAAGGGACGGAGGAAAGAGGTCCCGCCAGGCCCAGCCCCGGCTTCTGATGGGGGCGGCAGGGGAGGCTGTGGGCCTGCACTGCTCCAGCCTGGACTCGGGCCTGGTAGGGACTCTCCCGGCCCAGGGCCCCGGGTGATCAGTAAAGCCCTCAGAGCCTCAGCTCCCTCTTCCGGAAAGCAGGGATCATGGTGGTGCCCGAGAACACACGGGTCGGCCGGTGTGTGTGGTGCCCGAGCACAGGCTGGCCGCGGGGAACCTGTTGGCACTGGGGCGACGTGGATCCCAGCTTCATCATTGTTTTACCCAGAGGAGACCTAATCATCATGACAGCTGGGGCCACTGCCCCCAGGGACAGAGCAGGGCCGGGCCAGGGGCGCACCTACAAGCTCACAGCTCCGGGTTGGGGGGAGGGGGATGCTGAGAGGGAGTGTGAAGGGTCCTGTCCATCCTGCCCTCACCTGCCTGGTGTGCGTCCCTCTCAGGAGCGTGGGCATCGTAACAGGGCCTTACAAGCAAGGGGGTGGGCGTGGTGCCCTCCCTGTGAGGGGCCCCCAGTTTGTGGCTCTTGTGCACCAGACAGTGCTCTCTACTCTGTGTGACCTATGAGAAAACGAGGTTCCCCCCATACCCCCGCAGCGTGGGAGGGCAGGCTGGGCAGCCTCCGAGCTCCACCCCACCCCCACCTTGCAGGCACGGCCCTGCAGTGTTACTCCTGCCAGGCCAAGGTCAGCAACCAGGACTGCCAGCACGTGCAGAACTGCAGCCACTCTGAGACCCAATGCTGGACTGAGCTCATCCGTAAGTGGCCCTGCTGTCCCCGCAGGCCTCCCTGTGCCCCTGCCCTGCCCCCTGCAGCATCCCCTAGAAGCCCTGCACCTTCCCTCCACTGGCAAGGATTCAAGGGCCTAGGATTAGGTCTCTGCGCTGAACTGTTCAGCCTTCTGTCCACCTGTCCACGTGCCCACTTGTTCTCCTGTCCACACATAAATATAGATGCCCAGCTTCCCATCTATATTTGGTGGGTGAGTATCCAGGGCCCGGCCCTAGCCCAGTGGTCCCCATGCCTCGCCCAGGTGCTGTTGATCTCCTGACCCTCATCAGGAAGGGCTGCAGCTCGCACTGTGTGGAGGACTCAGAGAACTACTACGTGGGCGAGAGAAACATCACATGCTGCTCTACTGACCTGTGCAACGCCAGCGGGGCCCACTCCCTGCAGCCGGCCATTGTCACCCTGACGCTGCTCACCGCTCTTGGCGTGCTGCTGTCCTGGGGCCCCGGGCAGCTGTAGGATCCAGGAGGACCCTGTTGTGTCCCATGCTGGGCAGTGGTGCCCAGGGGCCCGGGGGGCACTCCTCACACACACCCGGGCCAGTCACGGCCTCTTCTGAACCCTAACTCAGGTCGGGCGATGCCCCTCTGCCCTTTCCAGCCCTCCCTGGCTCCCTCCAGGACTCCTGCCCAGCTCCCACCACCCGGCAGGCTGCGCTCTGTGATGTGGAACAGCGTGCAGATGGCCCATCAGACCCCTTCCCAATATTCCGACCCACCCCTTAACCTTCACTCAGGCACCTCTTCCTCCAGGAAGCCTTCCCTGCCTGCCCCCTCCACGAGCTGAGCCAGGTCCTGCCCGTGGTGTCCCCCGCACCCAGCATGAAGCAGGCTCTCGGGAGAGCCCCAGAAAGGCTGAGAGGAAACGTTCTGAGTAGAATTAGGGTTAGGGGTGTGAGGTCCTGGGAGCCCCAAGAGATGAAGCGTGAAGGGGGGAACAGCTTCCCATGTTCGTAGGGGTCCTGGGGCAGCAACCCCAGCACACAGTAGACCCTTAATAAAGGCCCATGGGCTTGGTTGCAGAGAGCCTGTCCTTGCATGCCTGCAGGCCGAGGTCAAGGTTGGGGTCTAGGGCTGTGAAGGGTTGCCACCTGAGGCCACGTCTGTGGCTGTGGCTGTGCCCTTGGCTCCAGCCAGGGCAGGAGCAAATGTCTGAGTCCTGGAAGGGAAGACATCGCTGCAAGGCTGCGTCCCTGGGACCTCCCAGCTCTTGCTATGTGGCCTCGCACATGTTGCTCAACCCTCTGAGCCTCAGATGCTCACTGGGACCCATCTCTGCTGTGAGGACTGACCCAGAGACTTCAAGGCATGGAGACATTTCTGGGTGGGAGGGGCTGCTGCTGCTGCATGAGGCCACCAGAACCCCTGCCCTGTCCTCCCCCTTCAGCTTGAGGACAGCCCCTCTGTCTGTTTCTTCAATTTCTTATTTTGTTTGTTGTAAGGGCTTCACACCCAGGGCAAAAAATTCAAACTGTACAAGGAGGGTCTCCAGTGCTGAGCCAGTTCCCCAACCCTGACCGCGGGCCCCTCCCCTCTCTAGGATGCTCCCATCGCATGCCTGGGGCTCCTTCCGGGTTAACTGTGAGGCGGGGGG